ATTTAGGGTTTAGGGATCTAGGATTAGAAATGGGTGTTTGATGATTGTTAGATGTTCAATGCTTTTTAAGGTGGTGAGGTGGCTTTAAAGTTGTTCAAGCCTTTTTGTTTTTGTTTGGAAGTCTTTTGGTGTGTTTGGAGCTGTTAGGCTGGTTTGGGGTTTTAGACTTCTGATTTCTTTGGATGTTGAGGGTTTTGGGCTTTGGGGTTTTGAGGGTGTTTAAGGTTTAGGGTTTTAGGTGTGGGGGTTTCAGCCGTGTTGGGGTGTGTAGGGTTTAGGATTTAAGGATTTTGGGGTTTACGGTTTAGGGGTTAGGGTTTTGAGGGTTTAGGATGTGAGGCTGTTTGGGCTTAGGGTTCGGGGGTTTTAGGGGTTTAGAGCTTAAGGAAGGAGTAGCCCCTTTGAAGGGGGTATAGGAGGTGTAAATATGCATACCTATATACCCGGTTTAGGGTTAAGTGTTTGGGGATGTAAATTTAGAATGCTTAGGGATGAAAAGTTTAGAAACACAAAAACCTAACCTTAAGTCTAACGTTTAGGGCTTAGGGGCGATGTCGGGTTCAGACTCCCCGAAATTTAGGGCTGAAAGGAGTTGAACAAAGGTGGGCATTAGGATTTGCCGGTTAGGGTTCCAGCAGTTTGGGGCGCTGCACCCTAAAACCCTTAACCCCAAACCCTAAAACCCTAAACCTTAAAACCCTAAACCCTAAAACCCCTAAACCCTGAACCGGATTTGGGGTTTAGGGTTCAGAGGGTTGAAGGCCTAGGCTTTGGGGAAGTGGAAGGCCTTTTTGGGGGGGCAACCTCGAGCCCCAAAGACCTTAAACCCTAAAAGGGTTTAGGGTTTAGGGTCTAAATTCCTGAGAAGGGATGTTATTTAGGGGATTCTATAGGGGAGTATCATCGGGATTATAAATGGGGATACTAGGAGTTCAGAATATGGCCCCACATAATTCCATAAACCTCCGTTTATAATCCGATGTAACCCTATATAATCTGTACGATCCCTTTAGAATCCCATCTAATCATTTATGGGTAAAGGGTTATATAGGACCTTCAGGGCTGAGTTTCGGGGATCCAAATTTTGTCCACCTCGCGGATTAAGGGTTTAGGGTCTCGGGTTTAGGGTTTAAGGTTTAGGGTGTAAGGTTTCGGGTTTTGTCTGTATCTGCATACGACATGCATAGAAAGGGCATGGCAGAGGAAAAACATGTTCAATGGTTGAGGCCTTAGGCTTTAAGGCTCTGGGTTTGGCTTTCCCTATATAAACCCTGACCCCGAAACCCTAAACCCTGAACCTTAAACCCTAAACCCTAAGCCCTAGACCCTAAACCTTGAACCCTGAACCCTAAACCCGAAACCCGAAACTCTGAACCCGTTTAAGGTGTTCAACCTCCAAACCTTGAGGAGTTTAGGATTTCAGGCTCTGAGGGACACAGGGAACATGTGACCTCCTATCCGGACTCTAGAATAAAGCGATTATAGGAAGGCGCGTCCGGGGTGTAGAGTGTAGGACTTGCTTAGGGGTTTGGGGTTTAGGGGCTTGGTAAGATTTGGTGTTGAAGGCGAAGGGGTTTGGCGATTACTATATTTCTATCTTTTTAAGTTCAAAATTTGGGTCCATTTGGGGATACCCTAAACCTTGAACCCCAATCCCTAAAGCCTAAAGCGTACAATGCTGGGACCTTAAAAGTGAATAACTGACCCAAAAAGGGAGACCTGCAACGAGCATCGGCATGGCAATGCATAATTTCAGGTTCAGGATTTAGGGTCTGGGCTTCGAGCTTTTGAGTGCAAAGATGTGAGTATTGCACTTGACTTCGAATTCTCTGAACCAAAAAAGAAAGAGGAGGTGTGTTGCGATTCTGGTGATGCTAGGCGACGCAGACACGAACACATCTACAGTGTAAGAGAAGAGCACATCAGCACGAGCAAAAGTTCTTCTGCTTCGAATGCCGGGAACACTTGCGCAATGAGGAATGACACAGAGAGGGAGATGACTTCATCTTCCGTCTCCGCCACGCACTCGCCCCAAATCACCTCAAAACTACCATACTCCCAGTTTCCATCCTAAACCCTGAACCCTAAGCCCCTAAACCCTACCCTAAGCCCATGAAACCCTACACCCTAAACCCTAAAAGCACCTCGTACTCGTCCTCCTTCTCCATCTGCCATGATCCTGTCAAGGCGCCACTGTGAAGTTTTTTTGTAGATGTAGGAGATCCCAAGGTACGCAGCCATTGGAACGGCAGGGGAAAAGATGGTGGGAAGCAGCTGCTGCACGCTGCTCCACGCATTTACAGCGGCAAAGCCGGTAATATGCCCCATGAGAACGGCCCAAGCGTGGGTGTTTAAGCGAATCTGATGCCTGCAACATCATCATTGAACACTGGACTAGACTTTGGGGGTCCTACAAACCCCTAGATCCTAAACCCTGAATCCTGGTTGTAACAGGAAGATTTAAGGATTCTGGTCACAAATCCTTTAAGATTCTTCTCCGGGAATATCTCGGACACAATTTCCATGCTGGCTCCGGAATTCGGCCCTTCGTGCAATACTACGATCCTCATTATCGGGATCCTCAATGGATGCCCCGAATATGGGAAACCCTAAACCGCACAATCTACTCTATATATGGGGGGTTTCCCAAAATTAGGTGTGCCCTGTTTGGGGGTCCTTATAATGCGGATTATAATATTTTGGGGTCTATATTGGGGTCCCCTAATTTTGGGAATCTACCGTATGTATACATACAGTAAAGTTTCCAAGTCATTTTCCATTTGGTTCTCCGTTATTGAGTCATTGAAGTAAGATCCCAAAACCCTAACACCAAAGCTCAAAACCATTGCTGAAGCAGGACAAAAATACAAATGCTTCTCGGCACACTCCAAGTGCACCAAACGCATTTCGCCATCACAACTTTCAGCTTGGGACAAGGCTGCACGCCTCTTGGCGGGCACCTGTTGTTGCCCCACTGCTCCGGAATAGTATGCCAAGACGAGCTGCAGCACGCAAAACCACAGCATCATATGGAGCATGTTCACTGCCAGTTGATGCCATGCTGCAACGTGATCAAGGAAGTAGTAATTTACTACCCGATTGCAGCCCTGGAACAAGAGCAAAGCGCCAAAAATGCTGGTGGTGGAGCTAATAATTTCCCAGGTGATCTCCTGAATGTCGTCGTCCGGCCAGTGTACGAGGTAGAACGTAGCCATCATGAAGCCCATGCAACCCAGCAGCATCATNNAGATGCAAATGTCCTCTCCCTCTTCTACCTTGGAACCAACATCTAAGCCCTAAACCCACGTGCTCAGGAAAAGAGTGCATTTCTGCAGCTCTGCGTAGTGATTCGAGTTTTTCGAAACCCGCCCCAACCCTTCGGTGGGGCAGTTTTGGGCTTACGGTTGAGGGTTTTGGGGGAGACCTTTACAGCACCTCCTCCCCTGAAGTCCCCGGAATTATAGTCGCCAAGGGCCCTTTAACTCTAAAACCCCTAAACCCCTATCCCTAAA